TAGGGAGGATAGATAGGTGGGAGCAGCATTATGTAGAGATTTGAAAGCAAGAACCAGAATTTTAAATTGAGCTCTATATCTTACAGGAAGGCAATGTAGGGACTAACAGAAGGGTGTGGCGTGGGAGGTGCGGGCGGACAGGAAGATGAGCCTCGTCGCCACATTCATTATGGACTGAAATGGCACAAGTTGGGAGCAAGTACTGTAATCACTGAGAAGCGGATTACAGTAGTCAAGGCGAGAAAGGACAGTGGAATGGACCAGCACCTTAGTCGCATCTGGCGTTCAGTAGGGTCGGATGCGCACAATGTTTTTGAGACTTAAGCAGCAGGATTTGGCGATAGACTGAACATGAGGCATGAAGGAGAGGTCTGAGTCAAAGAGAACACCTAGGCAGCAAGCTGATGGTAGCACCATTGACTTGGAGGGAGACAGACACAGGCGTAGCAACACTTGAGGGAGGAAATACCAGAATTTCAGTTTTGGTCAAGTTGAGTTTAAGGAAGTGGGCACCCATTCATTTAGAAATAGCAGCAAGGCAGTCAGAGACACTAGTCAAGAGGGACGGGGAGAGATCAGGAGAGGACAGATAGATTTGCGTGTCAACTGCATATAAATGATATTGGAAGCCAAAGGAGCTTATGAGTTTACCAGGGGAGGCAATATAGATGGAGAACAGTAGGGGGCCAAGGACTGAACCTTGGGGGACAACAACAGAGAGGAGTTGGGGAGAAGAAGCAGAGCCAGAGAAAGAAACACTGAAAGAGCACTGGGAGAGATAGGGGGAGCACCAGGAGAGAGCAATATCTTGTAGACTGATACTGCGGAGGATGAGAAGAAACTGTTGATGATCAACAGTGTCAAAAGCCTCAGAAAGATCAAGGAAAATTAGGATAGAGTAGTGACCACGAGAATTTGCAGAAAGTAGATCATTGGATACTTTGGTCAGTGCCGTTTCCATGGAGTGCTTAGCGCAGAAACCAGACTGAAACGGGTCTAGCAGAGAGTTGGGCTCGAGGAAGTCTGTCAATCTCACATACACAACTCTTTCAAAGATCTTGGACGCAAAAGGCAGCAGCGAGATAGGACGGTAATTGGACGGGGAGTTAGGGTCAAGGTTGGGCTTCTTTAGAATTGGGGTTGTAGCTGCATATTTGAAGGGCGAGGGAAATATGCCAGAGGGGAGAGAGAGAGAGAGAGATTGAGAATTTTAGTGAGAGGTAGAGAAAGAGAAGAAGACAGAGTACGGATGAGATGCAAAGGAATTGGATCTAGGGAGCAGGTGGTGGGGTGGGAGGTTACCTCCTAAGTTGGGAGAGTGCCTTCACCAGATTCCAGGTGGGACATCTGAGATCTCTGTTGAGAAGAGTGCAGTTCTAGGAACAGTGAAGATGCTGCATAGAACCCTCAGTCTCCCAGGTCTTTGGAGGAGGACCCAAGTATGAGGAATACACAAATACCTATGTGTATATATATATATATATATATATATATATATATATATATGTACACACGCATACATACACTATCTACAGTATATAGCAATGTAACAATCAACTATGCTTTTGGTAAATTCACATTTGTGTTAGGTTCTATATAACCTCTTACTGTACACTGTACCAGAAACTATCCACCTATAACCAAAAAGACTTGTATAGAGTCCAGTGAACATTGTCAATGAATTGTTAAATTGCTAAATAAACATCTGACCTGTCTGTAGACTTGAGTATACAAGCTTTTTATCCCAATGTCTTGGAGAAATAAGTCAGTTGATGTGCTATCGTATTAATCATCCTTTGTATATGTAGAGAGCTATAATGTAATACAAATAGATATTTTGGTTTGCAATGCCCCTTATGCATTCCACTCCTTAATAAGCCATTATTTGTTATTTATATTGATACTATGAAATTAAATTCCTATTGGATTTTTTAGAGACATTGTGATCTCATTAGCTTTCACCAAGCTAACACTGAAAAATGATGTTATGTGCAGATTAATACAATTTTTTTGAAAGTCCATTAGTTAACTGTAATTGCATTTTTCAATATAACTAATTTGGAATGCTTGAGTAAATAAAATGTGTTACAATGATAGAGAATTTCAATATTTCATAAACCATGGGCAATTTGTCATCTTTATTTTCTTACAGGACTCAAATAAAAATAAAAAAAATAGAATTTTAATACACAAATCTTGTATTTCGTATTTTTTAATCTATTCTCTGTACACGCGTCAGAGTTTCTCATTTTTATTCAGAAGTTTGCTTTAAACGCCTGGTAATGGATATGTTTCTTGTGGGTGTCACATATTAGTGGAATGATGTGTTAGCTCTTGCTTATTGATATTTGTCTTACTGGTATCAGGCCAGACAGAGAATATTTGTCTCATTGGGTCCAATTGCAAAAGGTATCTCCCAAATATATATAAAAAAAAAAAAAAAAATGTATACATTTCAACCAGAACTATGTTTATTTAGGAAATTCCCTAGCAGAACTTATAAGTTTGCTAGAGTGATGATAGGCCACATTCTTATAGCAGCTACATCAGTTATACTTTGCCATTGTAACCCCAATAATCTAATTAGTCACATGCACACAAACACATCAGACTAAGATTAATGTGTCAAAAGGCTTCAAGCAGAGTACAAATTTAGGGACTCTTCTTGTAGCCACTTCGCTCCTTCTTTCTATCCCATGATCTCCCAGAGTGAGTGGATCACTTACCTGCCTACGTAAGGTGAAAGTGGCAATTGGTCTGGAAGAGCATTAAATTGAGGGGTAACATTTGTAGGCAAATAGGCAGAAAAATACCACTAACTCTCTTGGCAATGCCTGGGTGGTTCTGGAGGACACTAAAAGTGTACCTTCCAGGTTGGTTTGGTTTGAATCTAGCCCTGGTGAAAATTTGAATTTTCTTAAGAAATACAAGTCTAAATTATAAATAAAAATGAGAGTTAGATACTTTTGCAAGAATGTTTTATATGTGTTAAGTTGAGTCTTGGGTCTTGATTAACTTGGGTCTCGATTTAATATTTTTGGATATGCTTTCCAAATGAGTTAATATTTTTGGATAAGCTTTTAAAATGATTTAGTATTGAGAAAAAATCTAGCCCTGGTGAAATTTGGAATTTTCCTAAAAAATACAAATCTAAGTTGTAAAATAAAAAAAGAAAGATATACTTTTGCAAGAATTTTATTTTTATATATGTTAATTTTCTCATTTGGGCCTAGAGAGAGATACTTCTGCAAGACCTTTTTATATGTGTTACCTTTCTGAATTGGGCCTTGATTTAATATTGTTGCATATGCTTTCTAAATAAGTTAAAATTTTGGTAAGTTTTTAAATGATTTAATTTAGTGAAAAATCTTTTAATTATGTAATATTTTGAAAGTTTTTGATTTATTGGTATATTGTAGACATTATATAATTTTTGATATTTTAATATTTAAAACAATTTATTTAAAACGTTTATCCAAAAATATGAACTCATTTTAAAGCTTATCCAACAATATTGAAGGAACACTATAGGGTCAGGAACACAAACATGTATTCCTGACCCTATAGTGTCTAACCCACCATTTAGGTGGCTTGCCTCCCCGTAGCCCCCCTATAAAAGTTTAAAACTCACCATATTTCCAGTGCTGCGTGGGTCTGCCGCCAATGGCTCCGACCCCTTTGTGACATCATCAAAATGGCTGACTTTTAGCCGATGGGAAAGCGTTGGATTGGCTAGAATCAGCACAAGGGCTCGGCAAAATCATTTGCATCTCTATGAGGAAAATTCATCGTCTCCATGCAGAGCGTGGGGATGCTGAACGTCAGGGCTGCTTTTTCAGCAGCACTGACCCAGGAAGCACCTCTAGTGCCATCTAAGAAGTGACCACTTGGAGGTGTCCCTTGAGGCAATGTAAATATTGCCTTTTCTCTGAAAAGGCAGTGTTTGCATGAAAAAAGGCCTGAAGGGAACTATTATACTCACCAGAACAACTACAATAAGCTATAGTTGTTCCGGTGACTATAGTGTCCCTTTAACCCCTTAAGGACACATGACATGTGTGACATGTCATGATTCCCTTTTATTCCAGAAGTTTGGTCCTTAAGGGGTTAAATTAAAGCCTTAATAACCAAGTATGAAAATGGTATGGTATGATCCTGGGATGGGCTGGAATAGAGGCATGGCAAGGATGAAATCCAAATCACTGATATCATGTGTGAATGTAAACATTGTGTGTTATCCAAGTGTATATTCACTTTCAGTTGAGAGCTAGTACTGCAATTCAGCCAACCAGCACTAATCATGTGCAGTAATTCTAAAAAGAGGAATAAAGCCCTAGAAAACCTTTAAATGTTGCTTAGTGGAGTCGCACATCAGAACTACTCTTTAGTATTTTTGATATTTTGGTAGGTATGGATGCTTTTTGTCCAGGTATATTAACTTTCATTCTTTCTAATATTTTCCCAGTAAATGCTAAAAAATATTACTGAAAATTGCAGCATTAAAAGCAAAGTGAGTCTGTCTTTCATTGTACCTATTCATATAACACATAAACACGGCATTACACATTGTAGAATGTTATGCTTTTACAGAGGAACATGGATGAATCTTCTTACCTTTTCTAACTAAAGCCCAATATATTCTGCAACGCTGTACAACAGCTTTCAGTAAGATTGTTTATAGAAAAGCTTGCACACCCTTTAACAACTATTAATAAGTGACATAAAAAAAAGCCTTATTCTTGAAGCGGAAGGTCGCACATTACATAAGCTCCGGCTTTAACCTTCAATAACAATCGATTACAACAAATTACACCGCCCTGAACTAGCCGATACTGCAGACCAGGCAAGCATGGGCAGAAAAACTAAAAAGCAGAATCCCGACAAGCCTCGGATGGGCATGAATATCAGGGACATGCTCCGACAAGTCCATGAAGCAGCTAGGCCTAAGATGGTTGACTATATTGAGGAATGCTCGGAATCCTCGGAAGAAGACCCGCTATATGACTGTTGACTTACATGCAGAGTTCCCAACTCCTCTAAACCCACGGGGTACAGACTCCCAACCTGTCACAATTGGAGCACTAAAGGAGCTGCTCACTGGCCTCCAACAGACTATCCAAGCCGATGTGACCTCCCTCTGTGTAGACATTACAGGCATGGTGAGCAGGCTGAGCACTCTGGAGTCCTCCTCGGACAGTCAAACAAGGAGAATAGCCGCACTGGAGAACTTAGTAAAAGGCCTACAGCAGCAGCAAGCACTGACCAAGCAGAGATTTGCCTCCCTAGACGATCAGAGGAGGTGCAAGAATCACAAAGTATGGGGCATACCTGAAGAAATACCAGCGGCGGAGCTCCCCATCTGGTGAGACGCTTGTTGGTGGCACTGTTAACACCCAGACAAGCCAAGAATGTTACCCTGGATGGAGTATTCCGCATCACTAAACCAAGGAAAGCCCCGGTGGCAGCCCCAAGAGAGTTGGTGATCCGCTTTCAAAGCATGAAGGATAAGTAATGGATGCCTTTAAAAGGACCCCCCAGTACACATTTGAAAATATAGGACTATCATTTTATGCGGACATCTCTGGTAGCACAATGACATGGAGAAGGTCACTCCAGTATTTTAGCTCCACGTATTCTACCCGAAAAGAAAAAATCTAAAGAGAATTTTAACTTTATAGCTGAAAAACCAAAAGGATTTTCCAGATGTGGGAGGTGCAGAACATGTAAGTTTCAAGTCAAAAATACTACAGAATTCCAAACCTTTGTTACGAAAAAGGTTTTTAAAATTAAACATTTTATCAATTGTCAGAGCAAGTTTGCGGTCTATTTATTGCAATGTAAGTGCGGTGTCCAATACGTTTGACGCACCATTAGAAAATTACATGTAAGGATTTTAGAACATTTTAATGGAATTAATAAAAAGAATTTAAAACGTAGCATCCCTAGACACTGCACTACTTGCAAGGATTTTAATTTCCACAACTTCGTATGCATCGGAATAGATATCATCACCCCTCACTGGAGAGGTGGTGATACAGAAAAAATGTTGGCCATGAGAGAGACAGAGTGGATATACAGATTAAAATCCTCAGTACCTTCAGGTCTTAATACGGATTTAGATATATTGGCTTTTCTGGAATGATCTTTTACTGTGCACCATGTCATTTGTTCTCATACTTTTTATATAGGTTTCATATATTTTTATTTGTATATTGGTTTTAATAGGATAACCTCTATACTGTATGTCATGTTATTAATTAATACTCATCCATTTTAAAATTATTTTTATTTAATTTATTTTATCCATTTATTTATTGTTTATTTTTCTTCCCATCTTTTCCTTCGTTAGTTTTGGGATTTCTGTAGTATATATGTGTGGGTTTTTTTATATATATATTTATCACTTGCATATTATAAATTTGAACATCCGAACTACTACAATATTACATACCTCTGTATTTTGATAACTATTTTTTTTCCTCAATGAATAGTTGTCTTATACACTGAATTAGTCCAACTCATATTTATTTATAAAATGTATTTATTTATAAAGTATTTTACCAGGATGGATACATTGAGATTTCTCTCGTTTTCAAATATGTCCTGGGTCCACAAAACATTGCATTGGTACAATAGAATACAATATTACAAAAATACAATATACAAACTATACATACATATATATATACATATATAAATGTAATACATAACAGATATATATATATATTTATTTATATATGATATGTTTTAATATAAGAGACTCAGGAATGTATAGGAGTATATATTATATGATTCATTATTAGTATGGGATCTTTAAATTATAGAAGTATTGCTATTATTGTCTACTCCATTTTAATATTCTTGCTTTATACAGGATGCCTCTAATGCCTTATAAATGCCCCATATTATACATATATGAATGGACTATCTTGCATACATTTTTCTGTTTATGTATATTTGTCTTTTTTCTATTTTTTCTAGTTCTTTTTTTGATATATTTTTTGATAAATTTTTACACATAAAGTCCTATTTATATATATTTGTATTGTGCTAGTACTCTCTGTTAGCAAGCTCAGAGATGCGGCTGTGTAAATTGACAATAAAGCTAGGTTGTGTTCCAGTGTGGATGGCCGAGCATGTGCAAAACAGCCGCTCATGCGTCATGACGTATGGCATTACGCTCTGTGTGGTTCACGCAAGTGCGGTCACCCGAGAAGACGCACGTACCAGCGGATTTAAAAGGAAGAAGATAGAATCTCCTGAGGAAGTCATATGATCGACGAAACGCGCTGAGCCTTGCTGAGAGAACCCTGAAACTCGGTATAAGCAGTCTTCAAAGCACTTTCTTGAACTATTTATGCACTTTTGGTCTGCACTTTAATCCTGTGCTACGAATTGCTTGCTGTAAAGGGAAAGTGGGTGTCAGCAGTTTTTTTGAGCACCTTATACTACCCTTTACTTGAATTGATCTGCACTTTAGCACTTGCACTTTGATTTTGTGTATCATATATTTTGTGCTATAAGCTGCTCGCCATAAGGGTTTCAAGCCTATCCAGACTTCTTATTACTAATTGCACACTTATGTTTTGCGCTAATATTCAATGTATTTGTTTTAATTACAAATTTTTATAAATTGTGCATCATTTTTACTAATTATTTTTCTCTGTTTTCTCTCTATTTTGAGATATTCCAAAAGAAGTTGGTAAATATTAGTGACTTTGGTGCCCTGTTATATAGTATTGATTTTATTTTTACTTTGTGTTTCTATATTTGTGGAAGGTTAGGAGAAACCTTTGGACAGAGGCCTGCCTGCACTTTACCATTATCACTCATTCCACCCATCCATTTTAGTAATTCCCTGAGATTTGATGACATTCAGCAATATTCACAAATATGTGAATAAATCCTCAGAGTGAGCACTGCTCATAGCCCTTTATATACAGTTAAAAAGAGGAAGCTGGTTTTCCAAGTCTAGTTATTACTACTATTATATTGTGTATGCATAATGCATTAACCCCTTAATGCTATTAGGCCTTTCTATGCCGTCCTACAGAAAGTGGGCTTTAATGCCTGTAGAGTGCCATAGAACCCCCTGTAGATTTGGTGTGTGCAAGTTAAATCTCTGCTTACACCAGGGAATCACAGATATCCATTCTGTCTGCTAGGATCATTTTTTAGTGGCCCCAGACTTTTAGATAATCTGTTTGCAGGGCTGGATTGCCTACTAAAAGATTGCAGTGTGAGCAGAGTTTACTCTATGCTCATACCTCTAGCCTCAGGTATCAATGCAGAGGTGTAACTAGAAACCGTGTGTCTCACCCAGTCCCGTCATGTGTCTCATTCTTCCTCCTTTAGCTCCTACACATCTCATTCCCGCCTCTCCAGTCTCTCCACGTGTCTCCTTCTTCCCTCAGTCCCTGCATATGTCTAATTACCCTCCCCCCCTCCATGTGTCTTATTCCTCCCTTAGCCCCTCCATATGTGTAATTATACCCCTCAGCCCCTCCATGTGTCTCTCACCATCCCCTCACTGTGTCTCTCCCTATCGCCTCCATGTGTCTCATTCCCTCCCAAGCCCCTCCATGTGTCTCTTTCCCCCTAGTTCCTCCATGTGTCTCATTCAGTCCCCAGCCCCTCCATGTGTCTCTTTCCCCCTAGTTCCTCCATGGGTCTCATTCTCTCCCCAGCCCCTCCATGTGCCTCATCCCCCTCCCCCAGACCCTCCATGTGTCTCATTCAGTCCCCAGCCCCTCCATGTGTCTCTTTCCCCCTAGTTCCTCCATGGGTCTCATTCTCTCCCCAGCCCCTCCATGTGCCTCATCCCCCTCCCCCAGACCCTCCATGTGTCATTATTCCCCTCAGCCCCTCCATGTGTCTCTCCCTATCGTCTCCATGTGTCTCATTCCCTCCCAAGCCCCTCCATGTGTCTATTTCCCCCTAGTTTCTCCATGTGTCTCATTCACTCCCCAGCCCCTCCATGTGTCTATTTCCCCCTAGTTCCTCCATGGGTCTCATTCTCTCCCCAGCCCCTCCATGTGCTTCATCCCCCTCCCCCAGACCCTCCATGTGTCTCTCACACTCAGACCCTCCATGTGTCTCTCACACATGTCCAGCCTCTTAATGACTCAAATGTTTGTGATAGTGTCTCTTGAAACCAGCTCAAGAATGACTGCATATCTTTCTGTGGGATATTGATGACATGTTTTTACATCCATTTGGGAGTTTGTTAAAAACTAAATGCTTGGATTTATATGATGCTTTCAATTTAGGAGCAGGAATGGGTTTTTCTAATTTTTCCAGTTTCCAGAGGCAGGTCTAGACATCTGGAAAACAAACTCAAAACAATCCTAAAGTGAATATAGAGAAAGAGCAAAATTTCTTAAGAAGCCTGTAAGGAAAAGACAAAATATCCCACCTTAAAGACCTCAGAACCATGTGGGGAGGTTTCGTGACACAGTTGATTTGTTCCGATAAGCACCCTTGCTGTAAGGCAGATCAGCACAGTATAAATAGCCTAAGCGCAGTTACAATTTTGTGCCAAAATTAAAATTCCGACTGCGATGCAGAGTACCTATAAATCAGGCCCGGCTCCAGCATTCTATGATGCTGGATGATATGGAGATTGACATTATGCAGTTCAACATCCGTGGAGCTATCAGACAGCATACCCAAATCTGCTTCACCATCTTCTGTCCAAGGAACACCTGTCCAGAATTGGGGTCTTTGGTTTGGGAAAACCTTTTAAAGGTATGTGAGGGAGTGAGAGGAGCTTGTTTTATTACTGTAACTTTTTTTCTAGCAGTACTTATCCACCATGATTAAGTACATCCCCACAGGTACTGTCACTATACTATACGTGGGGGAAATATATTTGCTTGGTAGATTGCAACAACTAAGGGATATTTTCTTATTAAAGAAATCTAAGGGATATATTCCTCTTAAAATACACGTTGTGTGTTTTTCCACTTGTCTAATTCCCTAGTCATCTGAAAAGTGCAAATTATATTTCACGCTGGTGATCACAGAAAGCAGCAATGCGTTTTTTTTGTTTTTTTTAGGATGATCGCCAGATGCTCAGACTTTCCTTCAGCACAAGGCTGAGAGTAGCATGGAGTCATTGTTTTTATTAATGTCTCCGCTGTGATTAGCCTATCATGTTACTCCGTATTGTCAGTCGCAGCATATGGTATGAGCAGCCTTTCTGACATCACTTGAGAACAGCATGTGTGTTTTAAATAGATCAAATATGCTTCAAACAAGGTCTATGAAAATAAAAGAAGAGTTTGCATTAAAATAGGAGGATATTTAACATTGTTAATGTTGTGTAATGTGATAAAAATGATAGTTATCATTTGTATCACATTAC